ACACGAAAAAGTTCTCTAAATTGTTGAAGTATAATATGAACAAATATCCATGAGATTTTTCTGACTATTATCATGATAGTAGGTAGATACTGATGAAAAGTTAAATCAACCTACCGAACGCTTTCTTATTGGATTATATATAGAGAGATGCAGTTTTTCATGGACTATCTCATGATATAAAAAGATTTTTGGAAGGCCATTGTTCTGGTATACTTTTAGGAGAAAAATATAAAAAGGGTGTGGGTGTGGGTGTTCTCTTCACTCTCACTCACACTCACACTCCACATACACACCCTCACCCACACCCACACCCACACCCACACCGCACACCTACAGCCACAGCCACATCTACACCCACACCCACACCCTCCACACCTACACCCTCCACACCGACATCCTCCACACACCCACACCCACTCTCACCCACACCCACATCTCACACCCACACCCACACCCACACCCATTCATTTCGTTCATAAATTCATTATGAAGCATTATTTGACTAGCGAGTATCGCTAAAGTACCAAATATAATTAGTTGTTCCTTCCTCTGTAGCTTCATTTGCAAATATTTCTGTAAAAATGATTTTCGTTGAGTATACTTGTTGGAATGAATTAACATTTAGTTCAGTCACAAAAGTATTATAACCCACGCCGAAGTAACGCTACGTCAATAAACATATTCGTTACAGTTATAGTACTTTTCGGAGGTAGAACAATGGACGAATACACTACACCGTATATCCTATCTCTAAGTTTTTTTTCGTCAATTTTCCGATCTCGGATAAGTGCCTGTTCTTGTCTGAGCAACTTTCAGTTTGCGTTAGCATTCAAAGAATATTTGCCGAGATTAGATATCGCTCTTTCTGATGCTCAAGGCAGGTAAAGCTTTTCTTTTTCTTTCGTATCAACTATCACTCCACTTGAAACGAGACAGGAGCGTGGGGAGACAATAGGAAAGGTGTAAGTGATCTTAATTTATCATTATGAATTATGATACGAGTAGAATAATAGAAACCGTAAACGGTTTTGCTTTCAATGATCTTATATTAACAGACATGTGAACTTTTATTGTTTTGTCAGTCTCTCGGGAAAAAAGTCTGAGCTACTTCAAACTTAAAAAAACGTCAGAGTTACCAATTGAATGCTTTGTAATAAAGTTGTTTAGTTGTATAAGAAATTTCTGTTAATTCAATATCAATTTTATGAAGAATTTCAATTTTTTTTCCTGGTTTTTATCACGCGTGAGAGTCCATCAGTCGATAAGCTGTTTTCCGATGTATGAATTTAGGTTTATTCAAGAGGAAACAACCGTGACTTCGATGTGAAGTTTCATAAAGTCTCCTGAAGTCTTGAGCCATGCACTTCGTAGCAGCGTTACATGCTTCTTCATCGAATGTTTATTTCCAACAGTTCAATCAAAATCATAATTAAAACATTGAAGTTTTATCGATGTTTTTTCCGACTCTCTTTGTCTATCTTTTTGTTTTTATATCATCTGCCTGAATACATTCTGAAACTGTAAAGACGGTGTTTTCCGTTGAATTTTCTAGGATTTATGTCCACATAAAATAACAGAACCTTACAAAAAAATAAATAATAAAAAACAAAATTTTCAGCGCCAATGCTTAATATCTGTTTCTGTAAGATTCAATGACAAGATGAAAACGTTCAAGGACGCTGTCCGATCTTGCTCATATAACCTTCCATAGTATCTACGATCAACTGATGATCTTCAGTCTGTGGTACTTCGTAAGTTAATTACCACAGAAAGAGAAATATCATGAAAAATAAAAAAATAAAAGTCTTTTGGAAGTAATTGGTGCTATCTTTGGGATAAAGATCGCACTTGGTACTACAATGTTATCAGAACAAATTCGAAATTTTTTGATTATCATATTTTAATTTCAACGTAGGCGTGATAAATATGATAAATAATGATAGTTCTCTGATGTTTAGAACTTCTTGTGTGCGTTACGTATTGACATACAATTAAAATTCTTTCACAAGCAAATATCAAATTTCTCTTCGAGTACTTATTTCAGACGCAAAAAAAATTGAATGAGAAACTTAGTTCAAAAGAGTCTAAATATCGTTAAAGAAGCTTGATGGAATTGAAAATAATACTACCGACGTGTGAAGAGATCGGTGCATGGATATTATTTCGATTTTCAATCAATTCTTTGACAAATGTCAATGGATTCGAATCGAATCGAGCATGATGAATTTGCAATTGACGACGATGTTCTGGACTTTTGACGAATCCATCCACGGAAATCCAACCTTTTTCGAAAGCTTCTTTTTCTTTCGGTGTTCGAGGTTGCGAGCATAGAGCTAAACATTGACAAAACATATTCTGTTCACCAACATTTTCAAAATAAAGAGTGCCATTGAACAGAAAGAGTTGCACTAACCATTGAAGGCCAAGAGTAAAAGCAGAAAGGCCATCGGATAGTCCAATAGACGGAGGAATGGTCAAAGTTGATGTGTTAACAAAGATCGATTGAATTCGTTTTGCTCGAGGTAATAACAGACGAAGAGTAGTGATTGTTGATTTGTTCGAAGATAAACGATCGATTAACCAATTCGCTTCATAGGGACTAAGAAAGATCAGATATTCATTTCGATAGAGAATTAACCATCGTGGTGGACGAAGAAATGTGTTCAATGATTCACCTTTCGTTGCTATCACGCGTTGAAATTCCGTAGAAATCCAAAATTTCTCTTCCCAACTGTTCGCTTGCCAGATATCAAAAAAAGTTGTGCCTGTCAAAGCGTATGCCAATCGACGAAATACTCCAGGGAACTGATTCAAGTCCATCATGGTATCATAGATGTCAGACAATCTTTTGATTTCTGCGTGTAGAATGGGTTGACAAGGTTCGACAGGTGGAGGACGTGCCAATTGTCGTTCTTCTTCGAGTTCTTGTTCCAATTCTCGTTGTTGTTCTTCATCTAACAATTGTGATAATCGTTGTTTTATTCCACCATAATCTTTCAATCGTTTGATCACATCTTCTTCAATTTCCGCCGATCGATAATGATTGATCAACTGATATCGAGCAAAATGAATCTGTAATACAGTTTGTCGTACTTTGGAAACTCCATACATACGTTTCAATTCGATGATCTCCGGTTCCAAACATTCTTTAGCCAATTGTTCCATCATTGAATCGGTAAATACTTGTTGTTGATCATTCCATTGAATGGTTCGAAAAGCGGCCAATTTTCGTTGGAAACTGAGACTCTGCGCAGCCCAATGATGTAATCCATCCCATGTCGATTGAACTGTATTCTCATACACCCAACGAAGAATATCAATTACATTGATTGAACTTCCATTGTTCATAATAGATGAATATTTTTTCAAAGCAAGAATCTGTTGATGAACTTCATTTGAACTCCAAAATGTTAATGAATGTCCACATCCTAATTTTCTCATTCTCATCGCTGCTTGAACAAATCGATCTTTTGTTAAACCATTACCCAATGTCAAAGCTGCTTTAAATCCACGTGGAAATTTGAAATCTGTTCCTCGAGTATGGATTTCATCTAAATAGAAGACACACCGATCTAATCGTTCATTTGCTGGTGAAGTTTCAAAGCGATGTTGATGATATTGACGATCACAAACAACAATTGATGAATCCAAATCAAAATAAATAACATAATCGATCTTTTCCTTCTTAGATAGATCCAACCATTGAATGGCGATATCTCGATTACTTCCATCAATGAATAATGCTCCAACATCTAGAATAACATTGATATTCAATTTGACAATCTGTTCTAAAATCTTGTCCGCTGAAGCATTGATTGGCAGAGTTTGATAACATTCATTTTCCGGTTGTAATAAATTATTGACCACGATGGCATCAGTTTTCTGCAATTCTGGAAGATCGTGTTGACGAATATGAACAGGTAATAACAATTGTGTATCATTCGTTCCACTAAATCCCGTAATGATTTTGCTTCGGTCAGAGGAAGATAAATCCCAAGCTGATGCAACTAATTTATCGGGAAATTGTTTTGCTTCTCGAGAAAAAACAAAATGATTGAGAAAATAATCAATTACTGATTTATTGTGTTGAAATGTGGGGAACAGAAAGCGAGTTCTCTGTTGATAATCTTTCAAATTGACTCCTTTCCATTGTCGAATACTCATCGAAATGTCATTTCGCTCTCCTTCATAGAAAATCCATTGATCATAAATCGATTCTGGATTGGTTTCTTCATCGTTCAATCGATTGAAACATTCATATAATTGTTTTTCATTCAAACCCGAATAATAATAAGTGAGATGTGTCAAAACCAATGCGACATCCGGATGACCAAATTCCGTTCGATCAGCTGCCACATCTTTCGCACGAAAAGGGACAGCCATTAAACGGTTGAACATTGGATTGGGATTAACACCATAATTTACTCGATACCGTTTCTTCAAAGTAACGAGTAAAACTTCCGAGGATAATAAACCACGAACAATGAGAAATAATTGAATATCATGAAGAGGAAATCGATCCACCAGAGGTTCAATGGATGAATTTGTATCTAAAATAAACGATAAGATCGATTGTTTATCTCCTTGACGATACGATCGTTGATTGAGCCAATCATTGGCGATCATTTTACACAAGGATGGAAAAGGTTCGGCTGATTGAAAACGAAATTGCGGAAAAGCACTTTGTCGATCAGCTGGTCTATAACAAATTTCTTCACTGAAATCTTTATAAATCTTCTCCGCATGTTTTTTCACAAATTCAAGGATGGATTGAATCGTTTTCCATCGTTCTGCACCTCCATCCATTTGTTGTTGACCACCCACTGTATAAATCAATTGATATTTGACATGCAAAATCTCATCTGATTCATCCAAAACATCCCGAATATATTTCTTCATCCATCGTTGCATGGTCAACATCGAACGACCAGTCTCGAACTCATTTCGTCGACATTTATCAATGATCAAAAGATCAAAAGATAGAATATCTTCCGGAGAAGTTAAGATCACATCACAATTCTCCAATCCACAGTTGAGACGAGTGAAGATTTGATTGATTTGTTCATTGTTGAAATTCAAATCACGACGACATGCAAAAGGAAAAATACGTCGATTGAGTAATCCACCGAGTTTCGATCTTAATGATTGATAGTTGGTTGGAAATAAAGATTTTAAGACGATCATACGAATTAAACTCTCAGAGGATGAAGATAAACTGACTGCTAACATCGGAAGAATGACGGATGTTTTTCCTTCACCCATATTCATTTGCATGACGATACTTTTTAATGTACAGTCATCAGTGGTCATCGCTGGTTGCATCATATGTTCAGCTACTTTGATTTGCATTTCTCGAATGGTAATATTCATTTCTAATTCTAAGATTAACCAAGGAACATGTGAAGATGGAATCCAGTTTGAATGTGGAATGTGTAAAGTTTCCTTTTTCAACTCATCTCGTTTGTCATGAATAGCAAAATGCAAAGCTCTTTCCAACTGCTGTTCCAGTGTCCAACTGACAATTGTTCCACCGAGTAATGTATGCTGATCGATAGTCCATTGGAATGAGGATAATCTTTGTTGGAAAGAATAAATAAGAGTAGATGGAGTGATTCGTATTGCTAAACCTGTGTCGAATAATTGTTCGTTCGATGATCTAATGGATGCAATTAATTCTTCCCAAAATTTAGCTGATTCTTCTCGAATCGATCTCAGAAGTGAAGAGATCTCTTCAATCGAAGGATCTTCTCGTTCAGTTTGTTCATCTGAGAATAGTTTGTTCCAACTTTCAGCTAATTGATTTCGAAAATATTTCGTAATTTCACTCAGAGGATTGTCGTTACTGTTGATAGAAGGAAAAATTTCTTCTGAAAATGGTTTTTGTTCATTGGTAGTTTGAATAGATACGATTGGTTTCTGAAGATAATCGACATGAGAATGATGAAATTTTTGTGTCGCACTTTGCAAGAGTTGTTGATCGATCGATTTGTTTGTTGGTCGAAGTTCGATTTGATGATGATTTTGGTGTGATTCACGTGTAAATTGCTGTGGATGATAGGGTACTTTCATGTGAAACTGTTCGATTGTGTTAGAACAAATGGAATTTTGAGCGAAATCGAAGAAAGATCGAAGTTTTCGGTTTCTTTGCCATGACTCTAACAATTGATTGACCTGAGTTTTTTCACTGGATGTTGTCTCTTCGTTTCTATCTTGATAATAACTGTCTCTCCAGAAACAATTTTCGACTTCTTCAAGAATTCGATTCTCTTTTCGAGAAGTGTAATGACCAGATAAGTGGATATGTTTCCGAATCACTGAAATCTCTTCGATGTTTTGATAGGAAATGAATTGAGGAAATGTGAGCGATGTCCAGAATACAGTTGGCATTTTCAATGCTGTTTTAAGCATTTGTAAATAAAATGGTTTGATTTGAAGTTTTTCAGCAGTGTAGTGAAGAAAGTCGATTAATTTCTCAAATCGTTCCATTTCATCTCTTCTATTCACCGCCTTCGATGTCTTCAGACAATCAGTCTTTTTTAATAAACCAATCCAAATCATTTTTATTCGATTTTCATCAGTGAACCATTGAGACAAAGGTAGCCAATGTTGATTCGAGCAATCTTTTAGATCTACTGTTCCATTGTTGTACAAATCATCCATCAGTCGAACAGTGTTATAGTTCGTAGGCAAGGGACACTGATTTACAACATGCTTATGAATTGCTGTTGAGCTGCTCTGCTGAATATCTCTTTCCATCTGTGGAGATAATCTGGCGAGAGGATTATACGAATCTCGATAATCCCAATAGAGCTTGCTCAACAAGCTTGCATCATAGGGTTTTTTTTGGAATATTTCCGGTATCTCAGTAGTATTGAATGTTGGATACATAAATTGGAATTGTTGACTGACATCGACCAGCTTTTTTGCTATTAGATAATAACCAAAGTGCTGCATTGAATAAGGCAAAGAGTAAGATGTCCAGTCTATTTTGACCATACGAGTGAGATGCGGTGGGTAATAGGTGACCTTCGGTGATACTTGAGCAATTTGAGTTAGAATATTCAGTGAAAGTGCATCGAAAGGTTGATCAGACCAACAACCAGCTGAATGTAACAATTGAAAGGCACGTTCCATTCCAGTCATTCCTGTATATTCATCTGGTAAAGGATTAGATGTCATCGCATGTAGCAATGCTAAATAAAGCCACCCAGTGGGACTGTCAATCGATTGCAGAATACGTAATCGATCATTGAGGATGAAAACAAAATAGTAACGAAGAAAGTCTTTCGATTCAGATGCTCGTTGTATCATTACATTCTGATGACTACAGTCGTACAGTTTTCGAGCATACACTTGTCCAAAAGGAACAATCAATTTTCGATATGGATACTGCTCCAAACTGCGACTATTGACGGACAATGGCGACAGAAGAAGACCATATTCCAAACCAGTAAGTGTTCCCAACCATTGGTTTTGATCAATACACATGTCTGAATATTCACGGGAGGATATGATATGTGTTGTATGATTGTACTTAAAAGCAATTCCTAAACGGGAGAAATGAATATAAATAATAATATCAGATTGAGAAGAAGCATCTCGCATCATATAGACATAGGGTTTCTCATCCAAACGAATAAAATATCGATAAAACAATTTCACGAAAAAAGATGACGATTGATTGACCAACATTTGTCGATTCTCGATATCAGTCGCTGTGATGTATCCCGTATCCATCGTTAACACGTACGGTTTCTCATCTAAAAATTTGCTATTCTGGAAACAAATCGGTCGAAACTCGACTGTCTGAATCTCTGTATCCATCCAATGACTGTGATCAGAGACGAATGTATCTGGTAGTTCAGTCTGAAAACAAGTATGAGGAATCAATCGAAACACTTTCTTGGTTTGTATATGTCGTTCAGTAATCGTCAAACGATTCGTTTGATCATTGAAATGAAATTCGTATTGAACTCTTCCATCGCCATGATACAAATGTTTAGTAATATAAGTATTGGGTGATTCAGCTGCTTGAACTTCGAAAATATGGTCACCAAATACACGCACGAATAATTCATTTGAAGTGATCTTTTCGGGTAAAAATCCTATTGTCATCCCGTCAACTAAAAACGTTCCTCGAATACAATCAATCGATATGTATCTTAATCCATACTGACAATCATACCAACCATCATAACAATCTTCCTTTCGCTTTGTCCATTTACCATCCATCGTGCCTTTACTTCTGATTACAGCCCAGTAGATTGCAGCAAATTCATTTAAACTTTGATAGGAGATTGTCTCCAATACTTGAGCAACAATTGGTTGAATCGTGACTGAGACACGTTCACTAAATCTCATCATATTTCTCATAAAAGTACTCATAGTAGTTTGATTTTTGTTTAAGATAATATTATCGTGAATAGTGGTTGTTGCTTTCAATAAGGAGATGACATGTTCATTCGATGATAGTACATAATCAATCCGATCTAGATGAATTGCAAATGTCAAGAGACAGGAAATGCCTACATTTACTATTTTCAGACGAAGTTTGTTCATTTCATTGAGAGCTGACGGAGATATTGTCTTAAGACATTCTGTAATCAAATTAATCCATTTTTCACCAGTCCTACGACACTTCATTACTACATGAGTAACTTGATCTTTTCTAGTAGAATTACAAACAGTTAATAATCTCATAGTAATCACGGTAACAACCATTAAAAGCAGTTCATTCTGCCAATTTAATTCACAATCATCTAAATGACGATCCAGTCGTGAGATCAGCTCATCGACAAAATGATCCTCCAATAATTGCGTATGCGATTCTGAACACCAACGATTCGGAGATGCACTTCTCTCCGTTGTCAACGGACCATATTGAAGTATTGAATGTGTAACTAATATTGCCACACTTTCTTCAGCAATGGATAAAGAGTCCATTTCCAAAATTATCAAGAGATTCCACCATTGCAGACGATGTCCTGATCGAAATGAGCCGAATTCTACAAATTGTGTGGGTTTCAATCGAGGTGGACAAGCAGATAATTTAGCAATGACTTGATTCTGCACGAATTGTGTTGTGTTGATAGTGAACTGCAACTGTTCGTAATCTGAATGATCCAATTGAGGCGTTAATATGCGACATTCATCGGCGAAACTAGCTGGTCTAGTTGGCGAGATTTGAACCATCAAACTATTTTCGAACAAAAAGTCGTTGACAGATGCAGTAGCAATCGACGGCGAAGAATAATGAGTTTGTGTCACAGATTTAGTAGGAGATACTAGTTTCACTTTGCAATTATTGGGACCAGTGTAATATGTTCCTAATTTACTGGCATGAGGAGGAACACTTAACCATTCGTACATTCGGTGTTTTGGATTCGATTTTGGATTCGGTTTTGGACGATTGATGAATTGCCAAACCATGTCTCGATAAGATCTGATTTCAATCGACATTTGTAATTCGAATATGACAGCGAATGCGCTTTCTTGTCTCTCTGGTAATGGACATTCATAGATTTTCACAGAGATGTTCGAAGCTTCTTTCTGAGTTCTGCACTTTTGACATATTATATCATACCCATACTGATAGTTATAAGAACATTGGCAGGACAGATGACTTACTGAATCGATCAGTCGTCTGTAATTTTCTTTGGCCTTGTTTACTTCTTGTATTTTCTCTTGTTTATCCAGTTTTGCTTGCGCTCTAATTCGTACGATACTGTTCTTCATCGTTGATGATTGAGAGGCATAATATACACCAAATGCACTATCAGATTCGATGTTTGTTAGAAGATCAGGATATGATTGATTAGTGAATGACATAAAATACTCGTAGAGATCGCGCGCTCGAATCATGTCATCACGCGTTGGTAGAATCAAGAATTCGAACAGATTGATCAGATTGGGAATGTTAATGGAATGATGCTTCAGTCGCTCAAATCTTGAGTCAGCACATAATGTTCGATGCATCGAACGAAGAATCGTTAGTGATGTTAAAATAAATCGTGCATAACCCATCGGATCAGTTGGATTTTTTTCCGAATAATAATGATTCAGTGCTGCGCCTTGATATTCCTCGAAGAAGCGTAACAAGATTTCGAAACGATTTCTCCCCTTGAGGGATACGGGAGAACGATTGATCCATTTCTCTAGACAAGACATGACCCAGATTTCTGCGCGAGTTAAGGTTATTCCAATTGTATAATTACATTTTTCCATCAATGTGCTAATGGATGGGATGTAATCGATGTGATTGATGTTGGTGGAATCATCATAGCCGTCGATACTTGAAAAGAATCTCAATATTTCAATGACGGTTTGATTATTCAAATAATCTTTGAATTCCGCACACGAATGTTGATAAATCCCTGGTTCATTCAACTTGAAATCGATCATTGAGAGTCGACAATTTGTTTGTTGGAACATTCGATTCGATTTCTGCCAATCTGATTTTGGATAAAGTGCATTGATCTTCGTTTCTATTTCTTGTTTCGTATGTTGAATCCATTCATTCATATCATTTGAATCAATAGTCGATAACAACTCTTCAATTTTCTTCAATCGTCGTACGATCTTTCGAATGCAGTGAACTAAGAAATCAGTCGATGTTCTGAGATGTTTGGTTTGAAGAACATATGTTAAGAAATGAGTGATTAACAGTTTATAAAGGAGAGTACCAATGTTTCCTAAACGTTTGGTGAGAATAGTTTGAAGGACAACTTTGATCGTCATCCATAAACCCGAACGTCGAAAAGGTAGCAATGAATTATTCCAACGAATTTGATCGCGATGTTTTTTCTGGAATTGAATTGAGCTATCGGAATTTTGTTCGATTGTCACCGTGTCGAAGTGTTGGATCCACCATTGACGCACATAATGAGACTCAGGTACTTCACGGATTTCGTCGACTTCTCGAGAAGATTTCGAAGCTTTGGAATATTCGATAGTATTGCACATGAAATCCATCAATAATTCGCAGTGAACTTTGGAGATCAGTTTGGATCGATTATCTAATCTGTATGTAGTCACTGGAAAGCAAGACATGTGAGGTATCAGGGAAGAAGTTATCTCGTCGCTTGGTAATAAAACTTCCCAGGCTGAAATCAACGGTTGAGTGATATTATTTTCGTCTATTTCAATTAAAATTGCTGCATTTTGAGCGTGAAAATAAAGAGGAAGAAAGTTTCCTGATGCTAATTGCTCAAAAGCGGGCTGGATATTTGATACAGAGAAATATTGAGGATTTTGTAAAATCGACCAGCGTTGAATACAATTGTTAAGAATTTCAAAGATTGGGAATATAGTTGTCACATAGGTTGATTCAATTGAATTGAAAAATTCCTTCAAGCATTCCAGTAACTGATATTCATTGTCATGTTTATCTTGGATCAAGAAATCATCGCTCGCTGAGGACGGTAAATGAGGTGGAAAAAACAGATGATTTAAAATTGATTCATTCATTTCTTATGGTTAAAAAGAGTGCTGTTTGTCATCCAATGCGCATAATACCTTTCTGAAAAAAACCCAAAGTCCAAACAGATTAACGAAATCATCGAAAGATAAGAATCAGATAAATGAGTAAGCGATAAGACATTGAAAACAACAGGCGAATAAAAAAAAATGTCAGCGTCTTTTCACTCGAACCATCATCAAATACGAACCTCAGACAATGATTGCAATTGTCATAAACAATTTTTTAGAACAGTGTCTATAGAAATCTCTCGCTTTCAAAAATGAATGGCACAGTGCACTGTAGTATCACGTAATCTTAATGATCTAACAGACTTTTCAGTTTTATCGAATGATAATCAAAACATCATACATTAAATTGCGATGACAAAGAAGATTCAGAATAGTTGCACTGAGTGAGTTTGTATAATCCGAAAGCGCTAAAGAAGTATTGCACCTGAATTTTCAAGAGGAGTTGATTATCTATTAGTTGAATATCTTCTTCTGTCAGTAAAAGTGCATGTACATTTCAAACTTGTCGTTGATTCGAATTTGATTCATGGGCTGACAAAAACTTCAAGAGAAATAGAAGTGGGAAAAAATTTTGCGTGTCAAATACAAGAATGAGTAATGCAGAACAACGAAGGAAATTATTTCAACTCTGACTGCAAATGGAAGTGCTGTTGTTTGATTATTTTGTGCTTGGAAAAAAAAGACACTTGAATATTTCTAATTAAGTTTCAATAATAGATTGGGTAACTCAAGGGGGAAACAACTGATTTAGATCAGTCGAAAGTCAAAATTAAATCAAGTAAATCATTTTAGATTATTTAAATCACCTTAAATCATCTTAGATCACTTCAGATCATCTTAGATCATTTTAAATCATCTTAGATCATTTTAAATCATTTTAAAATCATCTTAAGGGGGAGGGGGGTACCTCCCTAACATACCCTCAAATTTCCTCAGTTTGTAGGGTCAACCCAAGGGGGGAACAACTGATTTAAATCACCTGAAAATCAAAATTAAATCATTTGTAAATCATGTTAGATCACTTAAAAAAATTGATTTTAGATGATTTTAAATCATCTTTAAATCATTTTAAATCGCCTTAAATCAACTTAACTCATCTTAAATCACAAAATCATAAATCAGTTGTTTCCCCCTTGGGGGTGACCAACTTGACTGGTACCCCGTTTTGATACAGTCCTATTGTAAGGATAAAACCTACTATTATCCGGGCTATATAAGAGAGGATCCTAGATAAACCTAGATTGACCCGAATGTGAGGGCTGGTAGCTTTTCTCTACTATTGTAAGGATAAAGCATGGTATTGTTCGGGCCAATCTAGGTTTATCTAGGATCCTCTCTTATATGGCCCGGATAATAGTAGGTTTTATCCTTACAATAGGACTGCATCAAAACGGGGTACCAGTCAAGTTGGCCACCCCCATATTTATCACTACATTTTTAATTTGATATTTTAAATACGATCAATAAAATTTCTCTGTAAGTAAAATATGATGTTATTAACACTATGGTTTTAATAGAATCTTTTTCAATAGATCAAATGATTCATGTTATTAGTATGTATCATTAAAAGAACCTGTTAGGTATAGGAGTATCATAGGATGTGCAGAAAATTCTATTTTTCTTATTACAGAATTCAAAACTTCTACATCTCACCTGGTAAAAAAAGAAACACATTCTGTTCGGATGTCGCTTTTTTTTCTCATCAAATACGCGTGATCAAACAAGAAAAATATGACGCATCTCTTCTTGTGAAAAAAACCAAGTAGAAGAGAGAAAAAAAGATTTCTTTCCTAGGAAGAAACGAAAATTGCACAAGAACAAAAACAAAGGAGAAATTCCAAGTCATAAAAAAAAAGAGAAAACTTATTATAAAAGTAACAATATTTTTATTTAAGATATATAAAAATGTCTTACAATCGTCGTGATCGAGGTTCCCCAGAAACAGATATAAACATATTATTATTAGGTGAAACTGGTGTTGGTAAAACAACATTTATTAATGCATTTCTTAATTGCCTGTTTTATAATACACTTGACGATGCATTAAAAGATGAACTAAAAGTTTTAATCCCTTCTGCATTTACAGTAACAGACAATGAAACATTTGATAGTACAAAAATTCTTGCTGGAACTGCAAATGATAATGAAAATTGTGAAATTGATGGACAATCATCAACTCAATGATGTCGAAGTTATATATTTCCAATAGGCAATCGGTCAATACGTTTAATTGATGGACCAGGTGTTGCTGATACTCGAGGTGTTGATCATGAAGCAAGAAATTTTGAACATATTCTTAATTATATAAGTAATTATGAACATTTAAATTGAATTTGTATTCTATTTAAACCAGCAGTAACACGAGTAAATATTTATTTTCGTTATTGTGTTAAAGAATTATTAAGACATTTACATGTTAATGCAAAAGATAATATTATGTTTGTATTTACAAATTCATGTTCAACATTTTATCGACTAGGTGAAACAGCAGCATTATTAAAAATTCTTCTTGGAGAACTTCATGCAAAAACTGGTGTTGAAGTTCCATTTAGTATAGAAAACACATTTATATTTGATAATGAATCATTTCGTTTTTTCGCTCTTTATAAACACGGATTAAATTTTTTAATGAAAGAGAAAAACAATTATAGTCAAAGTTGGAATAAATCTATTGAAGAATTTTCTCGTCTAATTATTCTTATTCTTCAATGTGATCTTCATGCTGTTAAAGATATGCCATCATTAAATGAAGTTCAATTATTAATACATAAACTTTCTCGACCAGTAGCTGGAATTGTTACACTTATTGAAGAAAATATTTTAATGGCTAAACAATGTAAAGAAAAAAGTTTAAATAATTCAACAAATCAAGTATCAAATAAAATTCCACAAAAAACTGGAAAATTTATTCCACTTCAAGAAAGACTTACTGTTTGTGTTAATGAAAAATGTACGGAAATTATTAATGTTAATGGTGAACAACGAATTGATTATAAAAATAATTGTCATGTTGGTTGTTCATTACATAGAGTTGTACAAGAATGTATTGGTCATCCAATTATTAAACGATGTCGAGCACTTAGAAGAACAGGTTTGTCAATATAATTTAATATTAATTTTTTTTATTGATTTATATTTTTAATTATTTCGAAGAAATTCTTTTTTCTTATTTTTATTATAGGTTCATGTCGACATTGTGGTTGTCATTGGACAAAACATATGCATATAACATATAAATATGAAAGAAATTTAACATATATTGAAATAAATAATTCTAATTCATTACAAACACCTCAATCAATCATGACAATAATTGATAAAAGAATGTCGGATTTAAGAAATGAAGAAACAGCAATAAGAAAAATTTGTGTTAAACTTTCACAATTTTTAAAACAAAATTCAATAACACCATTTAATGATGATATTATTGAATATCTTCAACATTTTATTAATGAAGAAAAACAGAAAAAATCAACAGGAATTGATAATATAGATATTATTAAATGTTTAGAACAAATGATTAAAGATTATACAGAAGAATTTAATTTATATACGTCAAGTATTTCTTCACAAAATAATTCAACATCAACAGATCGATTTGACAATACTGCACAAATTGAAGAAATGTTTAGTTTAGTACAAAAACTTTATGATTTACCAATAAATGGAAAATTAATTGAAGAACAAGTTATACGAATGAAAGAAGGTCGAGCACAAGCAGCTAAAAGTGATGAACAATTTGTTGATTTACCAACAGGTTATATTTCTCCAGATATTCTTAACAATTTAAAAGATATTGTTAATCGTAAAAACAGATAGAAATTTTGTTGTATACATCCTTCTTCCATTTCATGTCTATTAAAAATAATCTATTTATGTTATGAAAAATTTGATAATAAAATGGAAGTATAAGAATAAATGAATCATGTTGTTTTCTTTTTTACATTTCTTCAAGCTACAATAATAATTTTTTTTTTATCATCTTTATTTAATCTGTGTTGATCTTCCGTACTTCAGACTTTCTTATCTTACTTTTTCCCTTGTTTTATTTTATTGACAGTCAACTACTTTAAATTTGTTCTTATAAAAAAAAATACTTCGAATGAAATAACTATTTTCTCCTCTTGATAACATATTAAATGAGTAAGAAGAAAAATATCTGTAAAGTTCAATTGATTGAAGATCAGAGTTTGTTTTGGTTTTCAGATTTTTAATAGATTATAAAATAAAAGAAATAAGAATAACTTATGCTAATTTATTCTCATGTTAATATAGATAAATATAATATTTAAAATTATAGAATTATGTTTGAAGCTCTAATTTTAACATAAAGTAAGATTCTTGCTTAGAAGAAAACACATAAATCGAAACGAAATCTTAAACAAGAAGAATGATGATTAATAAAATGTTTTGTTAAAAAAAACAAAAATACCAATGTTTCAAATTAAATGAATTAACGAAAAAGGAAGCTTTTTGTTCTCATTATTAGAAGATAAATAAAAGCTCGATAAAACATGTTATTACTATCTAAGAACAAAAAATTGTAGAAATTAGTATTCCAACATCAATTTTTAGAGACAATAACGCTATTTTTTGTGTATGAACGCGCTATTTTTTTTTACTGCGACACGTTCAAATGCATCACTATTTATTTACAATGCGTTTAATAGTATCGCTTTAATCCGCTGCGCATTGTTTTTAATTTAAAACATCATCTAATTACTATTTAAACACGTTCATAAGCAATATGTCTTTTGTTCTCAGTGAAGTGTTTTGAGTGAAAATATAATTGTATGAGGTAAACTCTGCTAACGCTTAGGTAAACATTTCGAAGTATCAGATTCAAAATTATACTGCTTAAACAGATATTATTGCAGAGATTAATTTTATGAGTACTGTGTAGTAGAATTTATTTTAATATTATGAACAATAGAAATTTTTGTGTAAGAAAAAGAGCAAATGCAGATGAATTGGAAAGAATTTAATACAATTGAAAAAAATTCCGTGTTTTATTTTCAAAAGCTATAGATAAATTGATATCTCGGTAACGACTCAGTTAAATATTTTTCTGTGCAATGATTGAGCATAATATCTTTTTATTCATCTTAACCATGGTTAGCGTGCTATTTTTTTTTTGAGAGACCTAATTCATTCAAAGAGACTAGATTGGAAAAGAATAAAATAGTTCGTGTTGCTTTTTAATTGTCTTCACAGGATTCAACTGAACTTTTTCAGTTATTTGCTTTGTTGAGATTGTTCATCAATGTTTGTTTTTTTGTCTCTGTATAGCAGCTCCAATGAATAATATTTCATCAATAAAAGATGTCCTGAACGAGCATAGCTCTTTCATTTTCATCAAACACACTTCACAAGTGATACAGATAATAACTAGAACTTTATTGTTATTGTCGTCTCTTTGTTTTTTCGTATAATTTCTTATCATTTGTTCCTTTAACAATCAAACAGATTCATTATGAAACCATATATATATATATGTATTCTACTTCTCATTGTTTATGTATGTTTGATATTCTTGATGAACCTATAATGTAACAATAAAGTAGAGTCAAACTTAAAAGCATAAATGCAGAGTATTTTTGTTAGGTCAACTCTTTCAAAATATATGTGTGTTTTTCTACTTATTAATTAAAAATCTTTTTGAATAGATGCTTCTGATGAGGTATAGTGATATAAGTATAAGACCATAGGGATGACACTCTTAGAGTAAATATATATATATATATATATAAGAGTGCATTGACAACCTTATAGAGATAAGAGTAGCTATATGTCTATAGGGTAAGTGTGTAGCGTATAAGCTTAAGATGATAGATATAAAGGTATGTGACTAAGGGCGTAGATGTAAGGCACTACGGTTAAGAGTATAAGGATGAGAGTCACGACGGGAGGATATAGATAAATATGCCTAAATCCTTTTCTATATATGCGTATCTCTACTCTTACATGTCTATATAGGGAAAAGATAGGATAAACAGATAGAAGTCGAGCTCTGGGAGAAAAAGTGCATTGTATATTAAAAGAAACGCATCGTAAAACCTGCGTTTCTCAACAACCTGTTTGTGCTTTTAGTGAAAAGAATGCGTCCTAAATAGTTGGAAAGTTTCTCAAAGAAAAATGTTTTTGTCGATGGTAATAGCTACACATCACCAAATGCAAATCCGATGAAGATGGCTCAACTATTTGTTTTTAATAAATTGTAAACTTCTTTTAGTAAGAAAGAAAAGCAAATTTTTTTCTTAAAGTTAAGTTTTTGTCGAATCTTTTCTGTAAAAGTTGTTGAGCTCATTGAAAGAATTTGATGCCTATTTTGTAAAATATCAACGGTTTTTCGATCGGCATCTGTTCAGAAAAGGCATGACCGACTCGACTCAATCGAATATAGCAAACTGTTGTTTCCATTTTCAATTAATTGTTAGATTCATAGTGTCAGAATAGAAAGTTTCATCATCATTATCTCATTCATTCTTTCGAAGAAAATCTATCGGCAAGTTTATATTATGTTGATATACAGGTCATAGATGATGTTTATGAGAAAACATTGAAAAAAAACACTGACATCTTTACAGAATAGTAGTTTATAAAACTAAAAGTTTATTCCTGTACTCAAAATAACATGTTCTATAATAATAAAATAGATTAGTGCACATAATTCTAAGACATTTTACTTTGTGTTTTCTGCCTCTTAGTCAAGTCATTTTTATTTTAAAAACGTAAAACATTCTTCAACTACTGCAGAATGTTGACTCTTTATCAATTTTCAAATTTGAATTGCTTTTATAGATCAAAATTGGTAAGAGTACCGGATTTCTTCGCATATTTCATAATATCCATTAAATTTGTTTTGTTTTTTCATAGAAAACAATTCACATTTGAAGACTAAGATTTCATTGATAACAGGAAACTTTTCGAAATCCATACTGAGACACAATTTTCATCACACAAAAGATTGACAAGATTTGTTTGCGTTTTTTATTCTCTTTCTCAAACTCTAGTTTCATGATAAAATTGAATCCATTTATGATATTATTCACTATTACAGAAAAAGCACGAACTCGTTTTCAGTGTAAACTCGACTAAAACATGTCTAATCTTGACAATTTATCAAGTAATTTAGTGACTGGCATGATTTTTCTACCTAAAAACGCAGCTGAGTTGTGGAGGAAAGAGAAAGCAATGTCTTAGAATAATTTTCACGAGTTTAACTTCCGTTCAAATCTAGGATTGTGACCGAACAGCTCTCTATATGAGTAGTACGTAGTTTAGATGAAATAACAAGTAAAAAGAAGATTTTGCGTAACTTCTTTTTTTTTTTTTTACGAAACTCAATCACTATTGTACATGTCTCTAATTCAATTTGAATCGACAATGAAAAGAATTTGGTATTCGGCATCTCGATTTGTCTATGATTAAAATAATATTTAATACTCTTTCTAATTTGTTTATTTTTATATTCAGATAAATATCTGTTGTATGATAAAGAATTACAACCTATAAACTCATTATCATTAATGCAATCGAAACAACTTATTGATATAATGAAATATTTATATGATTGCCGTATTATCCATCGTCATGTACGTCCAGAAAATCTAATGTTAGATAGTGATACTAATCATATCAAATTAATTGACTTTGCTTTTGCCATTACATATGATGTGGATGACAAGGCAGGCAGCATAGGCGTAACAGATACAGTTGCATATGCTGGTTATGAATTTTTAGATTATTATTCAAAATTATTATTTGGATTATGTTTACCAAATTATCGTTATGAACGAACATTTGATTTAAAATGTGCATTGAATGTTATAATAGCTCTGAATAATGTTCGTGTTCTAGCAAAGATTTATTCAATTGAAACATTAACAGATATTCACCAAATAACGTTAGAAGCATTACACTTATGGCTAGATACTCGACGAACGAATAAAGATTATTCAAATTTATTAAATTTAATAACCAACTTACATGAATCATCAACTTTTGATGTTTTAAAAAATCAAATAGAAAAACTCTTCGATTATTGAACAATTCTATTCATGCCTTTTATCCATCATATGTTCATGTTGTTCATTTAAAAAGTGCAGATAACTCTTCTCATTAACATTTTGACGTTCCTTTCTTTTGTCATTTGCTTATTATTTTGTCGTTTGTTATATTTGATCTTTATCCATATATAAACAAGCATATTCATAGAGAAAAAGACAATTCTTTCATTTATTAAAGCCACTTTTCTTTATTTTCTAGTCTGAGGTAAGAAATCATAATGATTTGTTCGTGCATCACTAATATGTTGTGTTCGATAGACGAACATAGTGAATACCACTGTCCGCTCGGACAATGTTTTCAACTAATCAACTTATCTTCGTGAAAATAATAAAACAAATGTTTTTAAAATTAATATAAAATCTTTCGTTTTCAATGAAAACGATAATAACTCTACTGATATATAAAATTTCCATTACGCTACTCAAAATATTTTTTTCTTGATTAACGATACTGAAACAGAAGATTCTTTGCCAATTTATATATTAGATGCTGCTTGATTTTGTTTGTTCGAAGGTATTATTCGTTTTCCTGAAAATTATGGAAGACAAATTTCATTTAATAATTTTTCTTAATCAATCAAAGATGTTACTCTTGTAACGAAAACTTCTAAATACAAAATTCAAAATTATCATTATTTTTTAATTATCATTTTTTAAGATAAAACGATTCTTCGTACTTTGATAAAGATTATGCCAATTAAAAGCGTCATTTACAAAACGTGCAGAAGTGTTTTTTTTATTTCATTTATGCTAATTTTAATCTCAAACATCATATAAATTTCATTTTCAATGGACGATTTGGTTAAAAGAACTGGAATAGATGTTGAAGTATAAAATATTTTTTTCAATACTCTATTTGATAAAAAAAACAAATAGCATAATTTTTCAAAAATGACAATTGATAAGTCTGTGTTGAGTTGTTTTTATTTAATTCGAATACTTTCATTATAAGAAGTCGATTAATACCATGTGCAAAAATAAATTATATAGGAAGTTCTAAGGAAGAAACAAACTGGTTGGGTGTGGGTGTGGGTGTGGATCAGTTTTTTTAATCTACACCCATCCGGACACCCACCCACACCCACACCCACACTCCACCCAGCTGTTTAGCAAATATTTGATAAACCTATTAGTAGATTATTGAATATAGTAGAAGAATCGTGTCAAGGAACCCTTTTTTTAGAAATGAAAGAGGTGGGTCTGCATGGAACCTTGTTCACATGAAACCTTATAGGGTTTTGATTTTGTTTCAAAATTCGGAATCCTTGTAGGGTTTCGTATGGTATCTTTCTTTTTCAGTGTATATCGATTACTTCACGATATGCCGATATATACTAATTTGCTGGATTTAGATCTCATGAAACATTACCATGTTTTGGCGTATTTGCTGTGGGTATGGGTGTGAGCGTAGTGGGATTTCTGTAAGTATAGATATGGATGTGAATGACAAGAGAATACACCAACACTAACACACCTCAGACCAACAATCACATCTTCTCAATAGGATTCTTTTGTTACTAAATTATGTAGATAGTGCGAATGAGTCGAAAACATCTCAATGGGAGATAAAGGGTAAAATCGAACAATCTGTCTTGCATCATCAACATATGATGTTCATAAATATAAGACGTCGCTTCAAAAATAGAAAAAAAAGAATCAAAATAGTGGAATGATCTTTGATTTTAGTCAACAATATTCAGTTTAACTATTTGGTTTTCTCAGTTTCTTCACTTAAAAAATGTGCTTCCGTTTGATTAAAACATGTCTTCTGCGTCTTGATGAATGTTTTTCGTTAAATAAATTATCGATCAACACGTCAGTGAGTTGGCTTCAAGGTTTATCATTTTATTATCACTCGTTGTGCACAACAATATTTTTTCAAGTTCTTCCGATCAGCATTGATTGCTGAAAATGAATAGAAAAGCTAAGAAAGAGTGAAGAGATCTGTTTGTTTTTCGATTGAATACCTCTAGTGACAAAATCAGTCAATGATACGACGGAATATTCAATTGTGTAGATTTAAGGTTTGCTTTAATTTAATCATATTTCTTGGCTAATCATTCGTGCTTCTTGAAACGCATTTCGATAATCCAGATTGGTTTTTCTTAGATGTATCTTCATTGATTGATGCTTCAGAACTATAACTTTACACGCTCTCTTATGGTGAAGCATCATTGCCTTTAAAACTGGTTCATTCTTACAGAAATGTTTCGTTTACCATTACCAATCAAACAGCAATCGCATTCAAAAGTGGTTAATGTACATAGTGACACCTTTTGATTGCTCCAGCTTTTGTCGGTTCTCATCACGGAGACATCCCATATTCAAAGACATCGATTATTAGAGAAAACGACCCTTTTTATTGTAAAAAAAAATTGACAATCCAGAAAAGGAAATTATCTGAAATCTTTTACTATAAAACGTAAAATAGAAGATTATTATTGATATGAATTCAAAATATTAGTCAATGTATCATAGTTGACAACCATTCCATTGTCTAAAACAAGAATGTGATCACATTTGGCAACCGTATTCAATCGATGGGCAATGATCAAAATAGTTCGATCATGAAATTTGTTTTTGATCAATGTTTGAATAAGATCATCTGTTCTCTGATCAACATTGGCTGTTGCTTCATCGAACAATAAAATTTTCCTATTTTTCAAAATAGCTCGTGCAAAATTGATCAATTGACATTGACCTACACTCAAGTTGCGACCCCATTCACTAATTGACATTTGAAGACCTGCCGAATGATTTTGAACAAATTGTTTCAGTTGAACATCTTCGAGTACTTTCCAACATTGTTCATCTGAATAAGAATTGAATGGATCAAGATTATATCGTAGACTTCCACTAAACATTACAGGTTGTTGAGGAATAGCAGTCAGGTTTGATCGAAGATGATTTAGTGGAAGACGATGGATATTCACATCATCTATTAGAATGTCACCCGTCACATTTGATTGATCAACAAACCGATAGAGTCCTTTGAAGAGAGAAGATTTTCCAGCACCTAAACAGACATCAAAGACACGAAACAAATATCACATTCAAATATGAATACATACCAGTTCGACCAATAATACCAATCTTTTGGCCCGATTCAATATGCAAATCAATATTTCTGAGAGCATATGGAAGATTAGCTCCATACCGTAATGAATAATTTCGAAATTCGATTCTTCCCTCATCAGGCCAGTCTGTTGAAGTTTTGACAAAATGTTTACAATCCTCTTCATTCTCTTCTCAAGGCAAATGTCCATATTCATCGATACGTTGAGCACTCGTCATCAATATATCACTTTCTACAAGTCTTCGAAGGCTACATTGGAAACCCGATATGATAAACATGGCACAGATCAAACTGAGTGCTGCATCAGGTGAATCGATTTGATTGGAAAGAAGTGCTATTGAAATAGAAGTAGCTAATAAAATGAATGAACTTAAAACAGTTAAAATCAATGCAAGGCATTGTGTTGCAGCTTGTACTATAATATATGCTGATGTATTAACATCCATTTTCTTAGCAAATAGTTGAATAAAACTATTTTCAGCTTTGAATGCTCGAATAGTTGATAAGCCACTGAGAGATGTTGAAAACAATCGAGCGATTCAAGTTTTACGTCATCAATCTTTTGATCATTTTGAATCCCTAGACTACGAAAAATGGCGAGTTGTTCGATAGAGCGGAGCCATTTGCATAATGATAAACTGATTCTGTCTCCCATACGTTTTTCTACAGGGGCGTAGACGAAGAGGCTGAGAGTTTTCAGGTCTTTATCGCCTCCTATGAGCAGATTTCCCTACAGATGGCATGATAACTTTATTTCTGACCATGTAAAGCCTCACAGGAGCGTAGATATAGCAACGATATAAACAGAAGGAAAACATTTCTCGAGTTAAGAAGACATTTTTGATGTCTGAGTATGCAAACGTGAGCGTGGGTGTGGTTGTGCGGTGTTGGTGTAGGGAAGAAGAGACACCCATATCCACACCCACACCCAACCACACGAACACCCATCCACCGCCACCCCCACACTCAACCACATCAACAATCACCCGCCCACACCATAAAACTCGGATACATAACCATTACGCTCAGTCATAGCAGAGAAGGCATGCAAGTTTTGATCCCTGATACTTTCAGCTGATACTAAGCTAAACGATAAAATAATTTTCTGTAAACTAAAGCTTTTTGAAAATGTCTTCATATGTCTGAAATATCAAACAAAGGCAATATATGTATCAACTCTTTCGCTCTTATCTGTTCGGTCTTGCGAAGTTCAGATGCATATCTTTTTCTCCGTCTTGTTGCTTCTTTTATTGTAGAAAGTGTTTCCACAAACAGAGAAGTGAATGATGACATCGAATCTAACTTCAAGAGTCATGTTGGCGAATCGACAAATATGCCCGAGATGATTATTGATATTTGAAGAGACTGTTCACGAAGATAGTTCTACCATAGAGTCGGACGAATAGGATACTACCAAGATGATGATGATTACAAAATGTCAAACATTGACGAACATTATTTAGAACATCCACCATATTGTCTAATTTTATTACGCGTCACAAAACCAAACCGAAAATTAAGTATCGTTTGACTGATGAGTAAATACTGTTATAACTCAACTTATTGTTTGATTCGAACTAATCTATTACATAAATCGATCATTTGTCCTCTACTTGCTGAATTACATTTTTGCAATTGATAGAAAAAAACGAAGACAAAAATGAATGATTCAGTGATAGCTACTTTTTATTTTCTTGGTATTGTAGAGAAACAATTCCTTTTATCTTCGAATGATGTGTAGGGTGATCCGATTCGAAATTTATTGTGAAAAATTAGTGATTATCGAAAAAGTTGAAGTAGTTTCTCGAGCATTTCTCGAGACCGCAAAGATGATAAGTGAGTATTATTAAACTACTCTCGGTATTAGCTATTTTGTCACTTCGTATTTGAAAGAGTATCTGAAAGAACAGAATATTTTTCTTCATCTGAAACGGATATTGTTGTTTTAGTTTAACAAACAGTTTGAAAATGATTCTGATGAACAGGAAATGTTGGAGGTAATTGTAGTCCATAACTGTCTTTCATTGTGGAACCTAAGTCATGTCGTCTTTTTTCCTCGCAATGATGTTCGCGAGTAGAAATTAACGAAACATTGAACCGAAATTTTTCTTTTGATTCGTTTGGTTACGGCTTGATGATTCAATCAGAGTGATGCTTCATCGAGAGAGGAATTAGAACAGTCCAAACGGAACAAGTGCTGGATCGATTAATTATGGCTTTTCTTGGATCAACATTGATTCTTCATCTGAACAAATGTCGAACTTGATTGAATCATTCCTTTCTCTCGTGAGAAAATCTCAGTCACATTTTGTCACGAACAACACCGTTTCAACGGTCGCCGTAGAATTGGTAAATTATCGTTCGTTAACTATGTATGAACACATTAGTATTATCGAGCAAAAAAAAGATTTATGATCCTATTGGTTTTCAATATTTAAGTGGTCTGCAAGCGAAGTTCTTATGTAACTGGGGTCGAAAGCATCTTTTATCTCCAGTTACCTTAGTCTCCTCGGAGTCCATCTTCAGCATGGCTTTGTTAATCGGACGAAGAGAAGAAATCAATCGAAGTCCTCATAAATGAACTCAAATGATCTTCTTAAAAGACGAAATGATAGGCTGAAAATAAAATTGACGAATTAACTTCTCATTCATTTTTGTTTTTTGTAGATTAAAAAGAACCTTTTGTTAGTTTTCCCAGTCTTATAATATTTTCTTTGTGAAGTGAAATTTAATTCTTTTTGTTGTTTTTGTTCTATGACGTGATTATTTATTATCGATGATGAACTGTATTTATGAGCTTTTTGTAAAATAGTCTGATTCTAGTAAGAAGAATTTGATGTCACAAATAAAGTAAATAAACGGTACGCTATACTTGAAAATTTTTATATGGTCGGGTGTGGGTGTGGGTGTGGGTGTGGGTGTAGGTGTGGGTGGGTGTGGGTGTGGGGTGTGGGTGTGGGTGTGGGTGTGAGTGTGGGTGTG